TAGATATATATATAAATATGCACGAATAGAGACAAAGATGCATGCTTGTGAATATCCGCAGAACAAGTGCAAAGACACACACATTCCAACAGCACACACACGTATGCAAACACACACAATCAGGCACACGCAAATTGCAATCTCCTCCGCCTGCATTAAATATAGACTTTGCACATCCCTGATAAAAAAATATAAGGCATGAACTCCCTCGACTTGTTTGCCTGGTGATTGCTGTATATGTGCATGCCTCTCTGCCGCCTGTGTCCTCGTTTCCTTCTGTGTCTGTTTACATTTCCATGTCAAAGTTTCTCGCATACCAAGGCTTGTTTCTTATAATCATCTTTATGTACTGAGCTGTGACTTTTGGCTCTGTATTTCAGGTGTACATGCATGTGTGTGTGTGTTGGCGTAGTTTGTGAGTGGAGCTATGAGTTTTGAACGCTGCTCAGATTGCTGTTGTCTGCTTTGTTGGAATGTGTTACATCCATTTTAATCAAGGATTCATACCTACGCACAGTGTTATTAACTGTAGCAGCAGGTCCAGGCATATTTGAATAATATGAAGAAATGAGCTGATTCGCCAGATGGCACACGCACACGCACGCACACACACACACGCACACACAAACACACAGATTTTAATTGCTAGTTATATTGTAGCTATACCCAATGACAACAGGGTAGCATTCAAACATAAAACCATAAAAGTCATACACAGTTAGGATTCGTGTATCTGCCATTTATCATCTGGCGGAACAGTTCAACTGAGTTCAATCGTATTGAAGTAAAGTTGGTGTCACATAATGCAAATAAAACCCTCACACTAATATACATATATTAAGAGGATAAATGCACAGAAACATAATAATGATCATCAGTAGCTCATTTACAGCTGAGAAATAAAAGAAAAAAGCAGACTGAAGGAAAAATTTTAAGTGAGCTGAACAGGAACGGCTCCTTCCCCTCTCGCTATGTTGCCTCTATACAATCTCAATATGAACAGTCCCCTCGTTATAAATATTCAGATCCTGCAGTTGTTCTCATGTCTAAAGTGTACCAGACAACAGATTCTATCCACGTTGAGACGGCAACGCTCCCTGGCAACAGTTCTACCAATCGGGACGGAGCGGGTGTCTGCCTGAGTCTGTCT